TTATCTCTTTTCCAACAAACTTTCATGGAAGAACAGCCTATGAGACCTTTCTTTGATATGCTTTCATTATATTCAATGACTAACCAGTGAATTATCAAAGGATCCAACCAATTGATATGACAGCTATTATGCTCTTCAAGGCTTGTGATTACACAATTGAAAAGTGACCACATGCATTGTTCCCTCACATGGATGTAGATTAATATAAGTCATTCTGCCTTTGATGATGAATTACCTTTTGACTGCTTAGGTTTGACTACTTTTACTTCTATTATATTTCTTCTAACCCGTTTGTTAATGGGTGATTATACTATAGCGATAACCAAGGTTTCTCTATGGCAGTTGAAGTTTTATGGTTTAATAAATCATAATGGCTAGTCTTCTTCTATTATTGATTTGCCAAATTTCTTAGAAGACTGTTGCTTATCTATCTCCACTGAACCCGCTCTCTCTACATGTCATACAATTACACAAGTCTAATTTGGGAAATTCCCTATTTTGATTGCATTGTCACAGGTTTGTCTTCTAGATTGTGCAAATGTTTAGACCTGTAACTGGGATAATTCTCATAAAAAATTCAGGGGGAAAAAATAAACCAGGATAATCCCAACCTCAAATTTCTTCTGTTTCTTTATATATATATATATATATATATTTGATCAAAATTCTCTCATAATAAAACTTTAATACATTAAGGACAAACACAAAAAATTTCTCTTGAAAAGTCCAACACATACCATTATTATCAAAATATTAAAATTTAATATAATATAATTTTTGATGTAAATGTCGGTTTTTAATAAAATTAGTATTTTTAGAATCCCCTCATCAAAATCTATAAATAAGATCTATATTGACTATGAAATTTTTTATAAAAAAAAAAAATTATTACCGTCGAAATTGATGTAAACAGTAACAGTAACATGTTACTCTGCTTGACAATAACATATTATTCTGTCTCACAGTGATATGTTACTCTGTTTGACAATAACATATTACGTCTAACAGTAACATATTATTTTGGTTCGCAGTAACATGTTACTCTGACAATATTGTCCCCAAAAAAGAAGAAGGATATTTTACTTTATCCTTACTCAATTATGTGTTTTCTCCTTAGAAGGTTTATGAAGTAAGATAAATTGAGTTGTCTTTTTCACCAAGCAAAAGTCCAATGGAGGGGTTTTGCCTGAATTTTCCATATCTATATCTTATATAAGGAAAATGGAAAGCCTTGTGGGAGTTTCAATATCTCAATCTTAATTTCTTAATTTTTTTATTTAAAAAAAAAAAAACCTCAATACTTATTGACTTCTCCTAAACTTTTTTTGATTTCTTCCATACACACCCTTCTTCCATACGCACCCTTTTCAACTTATCTCATACCTATTTAATTATTTTGGAAATAATAATTATCCCTTAATTTATAGATTTCAAATAGAAAGATAACAAAAATATTTCATAATATATTCATCCTAATCTCTCTCATCAATTTCTAAAAGAAAATATTAAAACGTACTTTCCTTCTCTCTCCCTTAAAAATCAGATAATATTTTTTTATGAGAGTTGTAGGTATCTATCTATATCTTATATATTATATTATAACATAACAAAAAAAAAAAATTTAAATCAGATATACAAACAGATGAAATTAATAAATATGATTTTTATTTATTCAGTTAAAATCTTTCTTTCACCTCTCAATATTTAATTTTAAATTTTAAAAATCTTTGAAGTCTATCTAAACAAATCTAATTTGAAAATATCTCACACTATCATGCTTTAAATTTAAATTAATAAAACTCACATGTTTATTACATATCTAACTCATATCATAACTTACCTAAATAATAATAATTAAAAACAAATAGAAATCATAAATAAATTAAATTTTAAAAAATAAAAACCCACAATTCCATCTTAAATAAATTGAAAAAAAATAGAAACTACACAAAAATAAATAAGATAAGAATTTAGATATGGATTTCAAAAAGATATGACAATATCTAAATTTGAATTATGATTTAATAATATAATTATCTGTTTTTTTGATGTATATCTATCAAAATTTTAAATTACTTAATGGGACAAATTATTCAATTTTTAAGTCTTATTTAAAAAATAATCTGATTAGTCGTCCCAACTCCTAGACTTTGCGGGCACTAGTGGAAGAACTGATGGATTAGGCGGGGCGAGATTTAAGTTGTTGGGGGTAATATCCTACCACTCCATAAATTGATTTGTTTTTTAATTTATTTTTTTGCCTGTATGATTTTCTTTATCTGTTATTGGTTTAGTTTTGGCTTCAGTTTTAGTGAAATTTATGTGTTTATTTATAGATTTACATGGTGGAGAAGAATTATTAGTGATGATAGTTGCAATCGAAGTATCTATGTCCATTCTATGCTAAGGATTTTGATCGAATTTTGTTTTTTCAATGAAAACCATAAAATTGAAGTAAAAAAAAAAATGAGTATCAAATTTTTTATTTTTTATTGTCATTTTATTTTATAGAAAACGTAAAAAATTATTGGAAATTCAAGATTTCACTATAACATTAGATTTTTGAATAATTAGGTAAATTTAAAACTTTTTAATATCGTGATGTTTTTTTATTTTTATCATCTTTCTATCCTATTATACTATTATTGCTTTTTGTTAATTTTTTAATCATAATTCAATTAATTGAAAAATGAAAACTTAGTATAACTTTTCATATATATTAATTAATTTGTTACCGCTATATTTGTATATAATAGCATAATATATAGAGATAATATCTAAATATAAGTTCTATTTTTTTATGTGATTAAAATAGTCCATTTTAAAATAGTATATAAAGGAGTTAGATGGCTTCTATTATCTCCAAAAAATCCAATCTATTTTTTTTTATACTTTTTAATTTTTTAAATTGAAACATCAGTTATTTATGTCCACAAAACAAAATTGATAAACACATATCCAAATACTATACATTTTTTTTTCTTTTATTTTTTTTATTTTTTTAATAGGTAGGATATTTACATATGAATGTTTGACACTTCAAATTTTTTTTCATAATCCGACTTATAATGATGTGGTCTTAAGTGTCAATTTTTATACAAATATGAGAAGAGAATTAATCAAATTATATATTTCAACCAGCCACATATTCAAACTTTCACTATTTCAAGATGTTATTTCACTATAATTCTAATTAAGAGAATCTTCAATCCTTAATATTTTTTAATCAAATTATAATTTGATAAAAATTTGAAAAGATGAAACGTTGAAAATTATTATTTTTTTCCATCAAAAATGATGAAAAGAAAAAAAATTGGGATAAGAATGAAAGTTTTTTTAAAAATTGATAAAAATTTAATGAAAAAGTAAAAAAAAATTCATATCAAATCAAATTTTTTATTCAAATTTAAAATTAAATTAGATTAAAAGAATTAAAAGAAAATGATGAAATGTTGGAAATATTCTAAAACCTTCTTCTTCTTGGTAACAATTAGAAATCCGTGTGTGTATTATATTCATATTGTAATTTTAGTTATGAAATTAAAACCAAAAGAAATGTAACTTAAATTATTTGATTAATAATAAAAATATCATATCAATTATTGTTAAATATCAATTCACTTCACATTTAATAATAAAATTGTATATTTGTCTTAATTACAGCTTTTAAATTTACATATTTTCATAACAAGAAGAGTTATATCATAACTCATGTAACCTCATTTAATTAGATTTAACTTCTTTTTTTTATTACAAATTATCAAAATTACACTAAATAAATTTATATATATTTTTAATTTTTTTAAACTAATAATTTAAAAAGTTATAAACATAAAATTGACTTACAAATTTTATATATACTACAAAATAAAATATTAAATTACTTCAACATAGTTATAATGATTTTTTTATTTTTATTTTTTATAATTTAACGGTTACCACTAATATATATATATATATATATATATTTTGAATGAGTTACTAACTTCCTCTGATGGTACTCATGGTGACTCAGAAAGGCAATCACTTACTGGTGTCTGCAGTTATTACAGGTAAACGTCTATTAACAGAGTTGACGCATGAGAGGACAAGAGAAAGTTGTCAACAATGGCGGACACTCACTAACACGTGGAGGATGTTGAGATGTTGCCATCACAAGTGGACACCCACCAACTGGTTGGTGCAATTGGAACGTAGGGTAGGGCTGGGCTTCCAGTTTGTGTGCATCCCAGTCACAAGCTTTACAGTTTGAGAACAACCTATCTCAAACGAACCTAAGGTTTTTATTACAAATCAAGCTGAGAGAAATCCCAGGATTCCTTCATCCCTTGGGGATGATATTTTTCTTAATAAGTTTTATTGGTTGTATGAGTACGAGAATTATAGTTCTTGCTATCATGAACAGCAAGTCACAATGCCCAATTTTATTTCTTTGTAACTAGGAATTTCCGCAATGACTCTGTGTTTGTTTCCTTCTGATTCCAATGTAGGTTTGTCACCGCCAATAATAATGAACCAAAACAGTATGCTTTTTTCCATTAATATTTCAACTCCAACACCATGCTAGAGCAAATTTATTGATGTATTAGCAACGGCTCAAAGGCAAGGAAATGAGGACATCAGAAATGTAATTTGAGATTACACATATATACATGTTGCACCAATTTCAGAAAAGAGAAGTACAGAGGTTTGAATTGATCACACTTAGGAAGGGCTATGGGACACAGAATGGAATATATCCTCAACTCATTTACCATATAGAACTTAATTTTCTTTCTCATGCAAGTCATATGCATGTCACTGTTTTTCTGTAAGAAATGTGATATATATCATTGTTGGTTTGTAGCTTGAATATTCATTTCTGAGCATCGCAAAACCAACCAAATCTTAAGTCCCATCAAATGAGGTCAGCTACATGATTGCAAAAGATAGATAATAATAAAAAAATGCAATTATTCAGAAATTCTAAGGACACCTTTTGCTTTGGGTATTCATAATGCTTGATCCAACAAACTCAGATGAATTATCTATTTTACCAATAGAACACTGTCAATTTATAGCATAGAGATGTCAAATGTTGAGCAAAATCCTAGTGTAAAAGCAATGTCAAAGTCAGGCAGTAGTTTACCAGTTTACCCAAACTTAGCAGCATATTTTGAGGTGAGAAAACGAAACCAAGTAAGCTGAACAAGAAAAAAATCTTACCATCTCGGTGACGAGCAACTTATGATGGACCACCACACTAGATGTCATGTTGGTGGAGGTTCACTGAAGGAGCTTTGTCCCCGAGAACTGAAGTGAAGAAACATCGAGACAGCAACGATCCACAGCAAGAAAATCATAAACACAACTCGAGTTTTCATGGAAACAAGTTCACTTAACCGATCTTTCTCTTCAGGCAAAGCATTGAATTCCTCGATGACTACCTCAATTAATGCATTCAAAAGCTTCTTAGATTGGAGATCAGCACTCGTTGAATTCATAACTTGAATTCGAGCTTGTTTGAGATGATTCACCACCACCTCTGCCTCCACAGAGACAATGTCCACACTCTTTTTGGATTTGGCAGATCTGCAATGACCGACTGAGACATCAACTACTTCATCCTTGTCCACAGTGATAGTGGACGACAATGGAGTGAGATCCGATAGAGAAAACGTCTCCAATGAAGGCGAAATCACCTGATTCGGTGATGCGATGAAGCTCTGAAACATAAACGTATTCAAATTCACGCTCAAAACATTTACAAATTACTATCCGAACAATGCTCGTAAATCAAACAATAAGCAACATTGAATCGCGAAGTAAAAAAAATAATGATCAAACTCTATGCAACGGTGAATAAAACACGACCAAACTATATGAATCAATCACTCAAAGAGTAGAAAACAGAAACATATTCAAATTCACTCTCAAAACAATAAACAAATTAGTATCAAAACAGTGTTTGTCAATCAAACAGTAAGCAACATTGAATTTGCAAATTGAACAAGGCAATAACGATCAAACGCTAAAGCAACACTGAATAAAACACGATCAAAAGTATGAATCAATCACACAAAGAGTAGGTAGCATTCAATTGAGAAGTGAAATTCGGATTTACCTCTGCGGATTCACGGAGTTGATTATCCTCGGAAATCTCTGAGATAGAAGAAAACTCGACCAAGTCCTCTGAAACCGATGTAAATACAGAATTCAAGCATTTTTGGCTGATCTGCAACAGTAAAGTAGCAAAATGAGAGATTTGAAAATTAAATCCACCTGAAATACATAGATATATGTTTGTAGAGAGAGAGAGAGAGAGAGAGAGCAGACAGCTAGGGTTTTGATTATACTCTGTGCGGCTTCTTAGAGTGTTCGGAGATGGACTTGGATCTGCGAATTTTTGAGCGTTGATGTTCCTTCTTTGGAGTTTGAAGCTGGTATTCCTTCATCTCTCTTCCCTCTCTTCTCTCTGTGATTATGATTCTATTATGGCGGGAGGATTTCAAACTTGTAACAATAGTGAGAATGGTCCCCCTTCTCGGGGTTATAGACCGTTCGGGTTGAACTCGTGTTTCAATTCGGTAGGTAAATAAGTTAATTTTGAATATATTTTAAACAGTAATGCTTTGTGACCTGACACCTCATTTTGATACATTTAGGCCATACAAATTCAAGGCACTAAGCATTTTTCTATTTTAAATTAAATTTGAACAGTCAATCATTCGTTCGGCTCAATTTGATAAACTTAAAATTATATAACAATGCTGAATTACGGAAACTCGACTTGATAAAAACTCATTTGAAATCAATTCAAAATTTAATAAATAAACTTAAATAAATTTTGAACATCGTAAAGATTTTTAAATCAAACTTAAACAGTCACCTATTCGACTCCTTTATTATCTCTATACCTCCTTCATATCATACTACTATCCATATATCCTTTACAATAATACTTGTAGTTCGAATTTTCATGACCCGAATGGCTCAAATGTCTCAAAAAAAAATATTGTTTTGATTCATTTGAGCCATTCAAACCACACAAATTTGAGTTACTAAGCATTTTTCTATCCCTTAATAGTCTATTTCGTGAGTCTCATATAGAACTCACACAATAATTTGAACCATTCCTCTCATAGATTTAACAGTAAAGATAAATTGTATAAAAAATTCAACTTCATCGAATATTATTTGACAAAAACAAATTATATTTTATTTTTTAATATAGATGCCAATTATGAGTTTAAATTGTTTATTTTATAAAACAAAATAATATTTATTCATCTGTTTATGTATATCTTATGACGCTTATTTTTAACATGGATGATCAAATGGTCTTCATTGTAAAGGTTGTGAAATGAATGATTTGAATCATCGTTGTAGAGTATAAAACCCACAAAATAAAATATAAAAGAGATCCAACGAAGCCTGATCGTTTGATTAGTCGTTTGGGCCAGGCCGAGCAACCAACTAAGCTAGTTGCACTTTGTTAGAAAGTTAGGGCTAATAGAATAATTATCAGCAATTTTATGAACTTAAACTTATTTTCTCATGAGTTTTTAATGAATTTTTTTTTACGGATTTGCCAATCATTTTAAAAGTGAAATTTGTTTGGTAGTTTAAGAAATAAAACTAAAACGAACATTTGTTATTTTTTTTTTTCAAAACTAAATTTTTTTCATAAAAAAAAGAGAATCAATTACAAATTTTTTTTTTAAAAAAGTTAGTTTTGAGCAGAATTACTTCAATTATTAGGCTTTTATGAAATTTGGTATTACTATTATGAATTAAATTTAGAGAGACTTATTTATAAGTCTTTTTTCAGACACTTATAGTAAGTTAAGTTATAAGTAAAAACTTATATTCTCATAAGTACTATGGGAAGTTATTTGACACATTTACCCTTAATAGTAGATGTTAATATCATATCCATATACATTAATTTGGAAATTCAAAAAACATTTCGAAACCTCCAAAATAGGCTGATTCAGTTGTTAACATTTCGAAACTCACCACGAACAGGAGAAGGGGTGTGATTCGACGGAGACGTTCGACGAGAAGGTGATGACGGTTACCGTTTACGGTGAGAAGGAGGAATGATGACTCCGAAACGTAAGTATGGATTTGTCCCTGTTTTGCAATGTTAATTTATTTGATTTTTATTAACAAGCCAAAACTAGGGTTTAAGTGACCTTCAGTCGTAATCTGCTTTGTTATTTGTATGTTTTGTGAAAATTGTGATGAATAATTGATTTTACAGTTTTCTAATTGGAAATAGTATGTATGTTGGGGTTGTACCATGGAGGTTCTGCGAGTTGACCAGTGTGGGTGATTTATGCTTGATTCGTTGTTGTATTGGGTTTGCTAGACTGTTTTGAGGGCCACAGTCACATTCATTAATTGATTTTATTTATTTATTTATTTTTTCCGATCCGAGCATAGTATTGGGTTTGGTAGACTATTTTGGGGGTTTCTCGTTGTGGTACGATGTCGTTTGGTTTGCGCCTTAACTTTTTAAAACCAGTTGTTGAATGTGAATGGTCCCACATCTTGGTGTTGTGTGTTGTACAATTAATGAATGTGATTGTGGCCCAATATGAAATTAGTGTCGGATGTGAGTGGAAGCACATGTAAGTTGGACTGTATGTACAGTGCTACATTGTGGTACGATGTCGTTTGGTTATTTTCACTCAGATATACAAGTAAGTTGTCGTTTTTTGATCTGCTTGCATGTTTGTAAATTTGTCAAATATTCGAGTGACAGTGTTTGTAGATTGTGACATGGAGAGAAACAAAAAATGTAACATGATTTGGGTTGTGTGGTTGTGATTTGATGTAAGCATATGAAGAGGTTACGTTTGTTTTGATAGTAGTTTTCGTTGACAAGCTTCACGTAACACATCATCTTTATTTTTTGAATCATGGTCGTGCATGTGGGTGCGAAATCAGTTTTAAATTACTGAGTTGTGTGATAGTAAATTTCGTTATAATGTTTTTTTGGAATTTTCGAGGTGAATATTACATGTTTGAACTGTGAATGTGACATTAGTCACAGTTACGCCAAGTACTTCTCAGTCACTTAGAAACCATGGCCGTGAATGTGTGCACGTAATTTGTCACAGTTACGTCAAGTACTTCTCAGTCACATTAGAAACCATGGCCGTGAATGTGTGCACGTAATTTGTCACAGTTACGTCAAGTACTTCTTAGTCACATTAGAAACCATGGCCGTGAATGTGTGCATGTAATTTGTCACAGTTACGTCAAGTACTTCTCAGTCACATTTGAAACCATGGCCGTGAATGTGTGCGCGACATTAGTCACAGTTACGTCAAGTACTTCTCAGTCATATTTGAAAACATGGCCGTGAATGTGTGCGCGTAATTTGTCACAGTTATGTCAAGTACTTTTTAGACACACTAGTCACATCACGAACATACTGACATGCAATGTTACGTATTGCTATTGAATTACATATTCACATACGTTTTCAGTGGGATCTTGCTTGTATATGAAATATGAAATTTTCACTGGGATCTTGCTTGTACTTTTCATTAGCTGGCATGTCTGACAGTAGGCACAGTTACGTAAAGTACTTTTCAGTCACATTTGAAACCATGGCCGTGAATGTGGGCGCGTAATTTGTCACAGTTACGTCAAGTACTTCTCAGTCACACTAGTCATATCACGAACATATTGACATGCAATGTTACGTATTGCTATTAAATTACATATTCACATACGTTATCAGTGGGATCTTGCTTGTATATGAAATGTGAATTTTTGGTGGCATTTTTTTCAGGAGGCACAATTAAACGTACACCACAGAAAGGCTGCAAGGCAAAAGTGAGCAGCAGTGAAGGGACTACAACTGGTAAAAGACGGCGGTCTCAAACTCCGTCATAGAATGTGAACGCATTAGGGCAAAACAGTGCCCGAAAAGGAAAGAAGCTGAAATATGAGCCTCAACAACGACTGAATAAACAACCAACATTTTGCTATCGTTCCAAAATTGTTGGAATTGTGAAGCTGGTGGCAGCGTCAAAACTGAAAGACGAGCATTTGCAACATCTTCAGAAAACACCGTTCTGGTTGCTGTTGGATGCGATGCGAAAAATCGATCTAAACCAACATGAATTCCAAAAATGCGATGACATTGTAATGAGGATCATTCAGACATTTGTTCCAGAGAAGTCGGCTTTCATGATTGGTGGTAAACACATTGAGTTGACGAGCATCGATATGCAACTAATATTTGGAATTCAGGGTAGTAAGAAGAGTTTAGATGTGTCACATGGGCCAAGACTCCCGACTGACTTCATCCAATGAAGGTGTCCCAAAATAGCACGCATAAAATTGAAGACCATTAAAAAACTATTAATGGATGCATTACTCGGGAACACTACTCAAGATCACCAGGATGTAGCAAAGTTACTGTGTTTGTACTTGTGTGGGAAGTTATTCTTTGCTACTTCAGGTGAGACGGTGAAATGGGGGTTCGTCCGGGTTGTAGAGGATCTAGACAACATGAAGGCATATGATTGGGCTGGAGCAATCTGTACAACTTTGACGGAGTCAATTAAGGGATTTTACTCTAAGCCTGAGAAAGTTACTAGATGTGTTACTGTCCTACTTGTAAGTGCTCTGTTTTTTTTGTTTTTCCCACAATATAATTTTGTATTTGTTTTGAAAAACTTTCAAAGCTAATGTTTTTAACCCATGGTCACACAGTTTTAGATATGTGAGCACACCAACTTGATACAAGCAGATCGTGGAGATAGATTTTTGAGGTTTATGAAATGGAATATCAGCAAGTTGGTCACAAAGATAAGAGCAGTGGACATTGAGTAGCCAAATGATGTTAAAGTATGATTTTCTGTACCGTTAGAGTAAATATTAGATGTGCCAATTTACTATTTTTGATTTTTGATTTTTAAATTGTTTGCAGGTTGTGGTAGAAGATCTGCACATCAGTCATTCTGAACGGCGCATCATGAAGACGAAAGACGTTAAACAAATTGGAGTAAAGGCCGAATGTTCAAATCGCAGTGGGGTTGGTGCTGAGAGTAATGATCAGTGTGCTCGGGGTGCGTCTACGTCTGAAGAATACCAGAGAGCACTGCTTAAAATTGGTGTGTTTAAGATAGAACTCCAACGTAAATCTGATGTTATATTTGTATTACAGATAGAACTGGCAACAATGAGGGTAGCGTACGAAGAAAAATGTGGCAAGTTAGAACATGAAATCACAGTGAACAATAAGCAGAAGGAATGCGACATTGAAAGGATGAAGCAACTAGTGAATGAACTTAATGACAAAAACGCGAAGCTCAAGGAACAGTTGGAGGAGTACGCAGTCCATGAATACACCCAAGCAGCTGCTGGTGTACAGGAGATGAAGAAAAGTAATGAGGAAATGTACCAATGTGAGGCAAACGTACTTACCATTATGCCATTGTCAACATCGTTTCCATCTGATGTGAATGAGA